AGAAATTGATTTTGTGTTTATTGAGCAGCTTCATTTTCAGGGATAAGGTTTTAGTCAAGTGCTTATTGAGGCTTAAGCATCCTGGTGTGTTGGAATGATTTAGATAGGAGTATGTAGGAGTTGGTCTGGGTGAAGGTCTGAGTTTGAGAGTGTTGGGCAGGGAGTGAGGTGCAGGGATACAAATGAGAGAGAACAAGGTCAGTGAGATGCAGCGATGAGCCTGAGGATGAATAGATGTGAGGGGGAGTGAACTGAAGGCAGCAGAAGAGAGGATGGATGGGAGAAGTTTGGAATTAAAGGGTGTCTTGTGATCATGGCCTTAGGCTGAAGGTCAAGCAGACTCAGTGGCTCTGGCTCCTTGGCTCACAAAACAGCCAACTCTAACCAAGGAAATAACAGTTGAAGTGTTAATGAGATAAAACCTCTGTGTTAGGACTGGCCTTGGCCTGTATTCTGTCACTGCAACTTGGACACACTGGGGTTGGGGTATCTGTTGGGTTCTAGATTTTTCTTCCTCAAATTAATAATCTTGAGTTTCTGTTGTAGGGTTTTGGGTTTTTTATCTATAAATTGAACATGCTAATGCAATGATGCCTATTCATCTAGAGAGAACCTGAGCATGAGAACAGTTCAGTTATCACAGTACAGCAAAAGAAATTCTCTGCTCACTGCTTCTCCTCACACTGGTAAAATGTGTGTGGCACTGTAACCTGGAGGGCTGGAGTAAGTCAAAAATAACCCTCCAAGCATCTGATGTTGACTGTAGCATGGCCCAACACACAGTGGTTCTGGTAGGGGGTAGGAAGGGGAGCACAGAGAGGCAGAGGTGAAGGTGTTGGGACCAGCTGAGCTGCCAGAGCACAACCCTGAGGGATCCAGTTTGCTGGCATTGGTCCCAGCCAGGCAGTAAGGGAGAGCTAATGGGAAGTTAAAGGTTAACTTGAAGTTGTAATTGGTCCCTATTTTTTTTTTTAATAGCAAGAGGATCCTGCTGATCTGTGTCTGTGATCCCTCAGCTGTGGCTGCTGCTCTGCTCAAAGCAGAAAAAGTAGAGCTTGCAAGAGGCTGGATTTGGGAAGAACTGGGGCTTTGGGGCACCACTGCTGGGGGAATTTTGGTTTGAATATGTAAAGGACAAGCAGTCTTGAAAACATTTATGTTCTGCAAATATAATTTCTGTTCCCCTCTGAGTGTTTCACTTTGAGTCCTTAGCAGTTTTTACTCTTTCATTTAGAGATCGTTTGGCTTGTGAATCTTTTCCTCTTTCTTAGCCCTGGTCCTGTGCAATAGAGATGGTGTCTTAAGTTTTTATAGCTGAAGCTCCATGAGGATCATATCAAGGAGGACCCTTGTAGCTTGGGAGCAGCTCTTAAGTAGGCATGAACTTCATCACCATCACATAACTGTACCAGGAAAGAAACTGATGTGACATTTCTTTGCTTGTGCTGCACCAGTTCCCTTTCCACAGGCACTTTTTCCAGAGCAAAACTGTGTGTTAAGCACCAGTTCCCTTTCCACAGGCACTTTCCAGAGCAAAACTGTGTGTTAGCTATCAATTCCCTGGTTTGCAAACACCCCTGTGGCCACCGAGTGGGTTTGTTTAATAGAACTGTTTTCAGCTTTACTTCAGTGAATATGGTGGGGTGGGGGGTTATCCCCTTCTGAAGAAGCTAATAAGTAAAAATGAGAATCAACTCAAGTATTCTGAAACGGCTGAGCCTTCTGAGCTTTTATGTGTGAATGTGACTCGGGGAAGAAAAGCCCAAATGAAATGTGGCAGGCAAACTGGAATTAAAGAAAACTTGTAATAAATAACTCTTGATTAAAGCACAGGCTATGAGAGTATATGAAAAACACAGACATTACACAACTCCAAATCCTACCCTGGTAACACGCTTCAGAAATAACTGACTAATGAATGTCTCAAATTGCTGCCAGACTTCTTTGAAAAGTCATGGAAAACTAGGAGAGAGATAAAAATGTGACATCTGGAACCAAGTTGCAATTTCTCCTACAAAGCAGAAGAGTTGCAGAAGAATGAGCCACTGTGACTCCGACCGCATGTCGCTCCCGACAAACACAGCACCTCCTGGAGTAAAACGGATGAGCAGAACCTCCTGCAGGGCCCTGGGCAGGATTTCTGCCCCCCATGTCTTCTGCAGGTGTTGAGAAAAGGAGGGCTGTGAGCATGAAGATAGCAGTTCTAATTTTTTCTCTTCCCAGAACCTTTTTCAGCTCCGTTGCATTCCTTGGTTGATTTTATTGCCTGGTCACTCAGCCCTGTATGTTCTTTTTGCAGCCCTCGTGGTCAGCCCTTATCTGTAACATGATGGGTTATGGTCATAAATCTCTGCTGCTTTGCTTTCCCAGAGGAAAATTTTCTTGAGGTTATTTTGAAGAGCCCAAGACCCAGCAGAACTTCCTGGGGACGTTACTCTCTGAAAGGACTCTATTCCTTTCTTCTAACCGCTTACTTATCCAAGCAAAATTCTTCTTCTCTTATATAGCAGCAGTTTGGTTTCCTCAAAATCCTTAAGTGAAGGATGTTGCAAAACCCTCTTGGAAATCCAAGTAGCCATTGCAGCTCAGATTGTCCTTTCCACATGGTTGTTGGCTCCTCTGGAGAGCTTGGATGGCTCTGTGAGGCAAGAAGGGAGAAGCTGTGCTGCCTTTTCCCAAGTCCAGAAGTAATGCTGATGAGGGATGACAGTTTTCCTTATTCTTACTAATTTGTCCTTGTGACTCACAGCTCTTCGTTTGGTCTGTTTACTCCCCAACTTCTTGACTCTTCCATGAGACAATCCAAACTCAGAGGCTTGGGCTGGTTTTTGTCCCCCTGCAGAGTGTGGTGTCAGCGTGGGAATCCTTCCAGCTCCTTCCCTGGCGTCTCCAGGCGCAAGGAATTCATTTAGCCTTATCCTCACTGAGTCCTGCTCGTTATTCCCATACTTTGGCAGACTTCCTGCCAAGCCTTGAGCAGATAACCACAGTTTGGATGCCTCTTGCTAGCAGTCCCCAAACCTTTCTGCCCTATCTCAGCATGTTTTTGGTCCCTGCCAAGCCTTTCACCCAGCTCAGGAGGTGACAGGAGCTCACGGCTCCTCTGCACATCCCTGGGCAGCAGTGCCAGGCATGGAGCTCAGTCAGTACCAGGTGGGTTTGGCATGTTTTAGATCCAGCACATGCAGGCACAGAGCAGGGAAAATCCAGCATTTTCATGTGTGCTGATTGATTCTGGGGGCAGCGGGTGTGACTTGCTGGGGAGGAAGAGGTGAGCATCAAACTGACTTAAAATTGAAACTAAATTGGCTTTGCTGAGGCAGGATCTGGAGTGTTTCTCACTGAGCTACAAGGGAAAAGATGCTCTCAGTGTGTGGTTGTGCTGAGTCTGCCTTAAATCTGAGTTGGGATCCCAACGAGAGGAGTTGTCCTGTTTGAACAATGTCAAAGAGATATATTTCCCATGGCAAATCCAAAGCCAGTTAAAAAAAAAACCCCTGTTTGAACAATGTCAAAGAGATATACTTCCCATGGCAAATCCAAAGCCAGTTAGAAAAAAAATACCATAAACCACAGTAAAACAGTCCTGAACATGAATTTCTTCTTGTAGCTCGTACTTGGGGATTTGAGAGAGCCTTAGAGGATTTCAGATCCTGCTCAGCTACTCACAGAGAGGTCCTGGGGACCTTTCTCTTTCCCACTTTCTCATTCCCATGGCTCTGGAGTACTGTTTTGCTTTGCTATACTTAAACCTTTCTCTTTCCCACTTTCTCATTCCCCTGGCTCTGGAGCACTGTTTTGCTTTGCTATACTTAAGGGACTTTGCAGCATTTGGGGAAGGGCTGAAATCCTCTGGAGTTTCCTCAGATGGCATTTGGGTGTGTGCATGGATGTCTACCACATGGTTCCTTCCTACCCATTTCTTTGCTTCCTGGGGAAGCCTTCTCTTGTCTCAACTGAAGTTTCAGCATGTCTCAGATCATGTGTCCAAGGTAATTTCTGCAGTTTCCACCTTGGAGAGCCTAATTTTTTACTCCCTTCTGCCCCATGGACCTTTCAGGTTTGTCACAGCTTTGCATTTTGTTATAAATGAAGCCTCCTGTTACCTGCAGTGGTTTTGACAGTTCCCTGATGGATGTTATGTAGTGGAGCATCACAGAGATGCTGCATGAAACCACAGTGATACAGAAAGAGTTTTATTGTACTTTTTGGTCAGATTCAAGACCTTCTGTCCCACGTTTCTATCCTGGCTGTCAGCACTGAAACCCAGAGCAGTTACTTAGTTAAGTCACCTGATTTGCTAATCCATAATTAGCTGCTTGCTGTAGTGCATTCTTAAGTTAGGGGAGTGATTTTGTGTGGGATCATTAATGTCCATGTCCAAAGAGAATTTTTGCTCCTGGAGGGCTCAGGTCAGGCTGGTATCTGCTCCAGCTCTATTCCTGCTCAGGCATCTGCTAATGTGCATCCTGCAGACGATGAGTAGCTGGAATTTTGCAAGGGACACAGCTGTGGTTTGGGTGGGGAAGGTGCAGGTCAAGCCTGCACTGCCTTCAGCAGCAAGGGCTTGGAGTTGGAGTGGAATGGAGTTTTCCTGGTTTTCTGAGGTGTTTTGGAGTGGGCTGTGGAGAACAGTGCTCTCCTTCTCAGGCGTGGAAGTTCTCTTAATGCGGAAATGAAAGTGCTGAGCAATCAGAACATCCATCAGTGCTAAGAGGTGAAAGGTTTTGTTTGTCTTTTTCATGGGGGAAAAGAATGGAAATAAACTACAGAGGACACAATTTAAACATGGATGCTGTCATCGGGAGTGGGAACTGTGCGTGTTGTTGGGTTGATGTGGAAAAAGATAAGACTCACCAAGGAGCTTCACAGAGTTAATGCTGCTGCTAGGGGAATGTGCTGGAGCTTCCTCTAAATATTGAAGTTTTCTAGTGTGAATTAGGGGAGAAAACCCAACCTGGGGAGAGGATAACTAACTCCTGTGACCTTTCTTTCATCAGACGTGCCAAGTGTGCCAGATGATGCTGCCCAACCAGTGCAGTTTCTGCGCTCACCAGAGGATCCACGCTCACAAATCTCCGTACTGCTGCCCGGAGTGCGGCGCCGTGTGCCGCTCGGCCTACTTCCAGACCCACGTGCGGGAGAACTGCCTGCACTACTCCCGCAAAGTCGGCATCAGGTGTGTGCAGCCCCTCGGGGGCTGGGGAGACTGGGCTGCAGGTCTTTGGGAGGTGGTTGTGCATATGAGGTGGTGAAGTTGTGAGGATTTAGGAGGTGATTCGTCCCCTCTGCTCTCATGAGACCCCACCTGGAATACTGCACACAGGTCTGGTGTTCTCAGCGTGAGAGGGACATGGAACTGTTGGAGCAAGTCCAGAGGAGGCCATGAAGTTGCTAGGAGGACTGGAGCATCTCCCCTGTGAGGACAGGCTGAGGGAGTTGAGGCTGTTCAGCCTGGAGAAGAGAAGGTTGTGTGGAGACCTCAGAGGAACTTTTCAATATCTGAAGGGCCTACAAGGAGCTGGAGAGGGACTCAGTGTTAGGAACTGCAGTGATGGGATAAGGGGAAATGGGTTCAAACTGAAGGAGGGAAAGTCTAGGTTGAATATTAGAAAAAAAAATTTCACTACAAGTGTGATCTGTCCCAGGTTGCCCAGGGAGGCTGTGGCTGCCCCAACCCTGGCAGTGTTCAAGGCCAGGCTGGATGAGCCTTGATCTAGTGAGGAGGTGTCCCAGCCCAGGGCAGGGGTTGGGACTAGATGATCTGTAAGGTCACTCCAACCCCTAAATTCTGTGATTCTATGCTTGTGGTTGTGGCTGTCCCATCCCTGGAAGTGTTCCAGGCCAGGTTGGACAGGGCTTGGAGCAACCTGGACTAGTGGAAGGTGTCCCTGCCTGTGGCAAGGGGTTGGAACAAGCTGAGCTTTATGTTCCCTTCCAGCCTAAATCATCCTGTAAAACAAGCTGAGCTTTATGTTCCCTTCCAATCTAAATCATCCTGTATTGAAATGTTCCTTCCAGCAGAAACGAAAGGGGATGTAGCCTTGGCCTGGTGTGGTTTTCTGCATGACAAAGCACATTTGAAATGGGGAATTACCAAATGGATTTAAGGGAGGTTTCTGAGAGCAGAAATTATTTTGTGGCAGCTTCGAGCTGAAAGATGCTTGTACTGAATTCAAGTTGCAGCCAAGCGTCTCGGGGTTGATATTTACAGCAAAAAGATTGCAGATCTTAATCCTCTAAACCTCCTTAAGGCTTGAATGTATATTCGTGTCAGTTGTAGCTGACTGAGGACGTGTGCCTCAGTCAGGAGAAGGACACAGATTATTTCCTTCTGTGCCCCTGCAGCTCTCCAAACTCTTCTCATGAGCTGAGACGGGTGGAGGAAGGTTCACATCGTTCTCCATGTGGTGCAATGCCTTTTCTCCAAGGAAACCAA